GTGTAGTTAATGGTGGCAAGTGCACGTTAAATCTGTTGGGACACAAAGTCCTCCATGTTACCATAACAAATCGTACCTCCGGGAGTCATGAATTGGAGATTGATCGTTCTCTGGTTAAGATCAAAATTACGATCTGTGGATGAATGTATGTATGAATCGGTCCGCCCTAAAAACGGGTGCGACGTATATGTGTGTCAGAAGTCGAATTCTTGGCCATAGATGGCGCAACTGGAAAACAAGAACAATCACACCCCCACTGCCTTACTGGCCGACGACTACAAAAAAAAATTCACAGCGCAGAAATTTAAAATTTCTATAGCTTAAAGCAGGGAAATCAATTACTCACCTGTTTTCAAAATATTTTAATAATGTAAGAGTTTTGGTTAATTTTGCTAACACTTGTCGTTGTTACGGTGACTGACAGAAATCAGGGGAATGTCGACTGTCACCGGCGAATGTCAACAACCACATAGTCGCTTTAGTGAATGTCCACTGACGATAGATTAAAAGAGACATCAGTGTTCGGAGTACCGGTTAAGTGCATACTGGTCAGTGGTACTTGACCTCAAGAAAACATTGATGTAGTTCATGCCGGACAATTATATACCGGGCAGTGGCACGTACCTAGACCCAGTATATATTTCGGACATTTATCAAAGCGACTATGATTTTCAACATTCACCGTTGGAAATCAACAACCACCCATTTCATCCATTCAAAGTAATATATTCATTATTCTAAAAAAGTAGAAATAACCTCAAAAAATATGAGTGAACTAACCTTATCGGATGGTTCGTCTTGATTTTGTTCAATATAAAGCAGCTCCTCTTTGGAGATACTTGGATGTAAAGCTGGTGTTTCATACATAAAGAGGAACCAACAAATGCACCACGTGACACCAATTCCACCTGAAATGCAATGTAAAGCTCTCTATTTAAAAAGTTTCTTGCATTTATGTGAACTATCAGTAGTTGTTACGTATTTGATATTTTTTAATTAAATTATGAATCACCATAATCTGGGATTGCATAAATCATTCATCAGCTTTCCAAAGCCTGATTGTTTACAAGTACTTGTGATACATTAAAACGGCACTCTTCCATTATGTACTATAGTTATTCAGTACCTGCCGTTATCTGGTCTGAGAGTGTAACGGAGAAGAGAAAAAAATAGGTCCTGTGTTAACCTTTGCCAAAGCCAGTAGTCCTAGTTACTTATGTAAATCACAGATGAAGAGTAGGCGTCATGATCCTTTTTTTAGAAGTTTTATTACTTCATTCGCTATCAAATTGTAGAAAGTAAAACAGTTGCGTCTCTGAAAAACTAAAGTGGTAACTAGTGAATAGGATGCTCGTGGCATCCTTGCGATGTGGTTATCTGGTACACAGGGATACTACAGTCGACCGAAAATTTAAAAATGTGGTCAAAACTCCCTTCATTTTTATTCATTTACTATCTTTTTAACTTGTCTTTCTAACAACCACTAGGACTTAGATTGAAAATTATTCATATTTAAAGCAAAAAGTAACGACGCTAACACCTGATGGGAAAAAGTCGCTAACGGTCTCAGACGCTCAGATAAGTTCTGATGACGACGATGATGTTCATGATGATCGGGTCATACACTTTCAATAGTAAATTAAAAAACAAAATGCTTTAAAAAGTTGTTAATATGAATATTTTGATTTCTTTTGATTAATTTCAAATTTCAACCATATTTTTACACAAAAGAAAAAAAAAATTGGGTTTATTCCCCCAAAATAGGAAGAGAGCAGACAATACTTTAAAATTTTTTTTAATATATAGCTTAACCGCTAAAATGGTTTAAGGTAATGTAACGCTAATGTTATTTCAATGCGTTACATTTGCCTCGGTCGTCGAATTGAAATGAATCTTTCATGGAAAGTTTATTTCCATAGGCTCAAAGAAAAAATATGTTATGTAAAGGGAAATTTTCATGAAATAAAAAATAATAATTTATTTGTTAATGATGAAAACAGTTTTTAGAATACTTGTAAGATGCAAAAATATTTAATTCTGTATTTCGGATTGTTTTAAACATAAACCTAACTTTACACACCATGTGACAATTAGTTCACTAATGGGATATGTACAGCGTGACTACGAGTGTACTTTTTAATATGTGTACTATGTATCAAGAATTTGGTGGTTGTATGTATCGTTCCATATTTAAGCGGTGCTTGTACATTTCATACTTGTATATAAATTGTCCTCTGGGGCCAGGATAGGCTGGTTGGCAAGACACTGGACTCACTTTCGAATCCAACCGGCTGAAGATTCCCCCTATAGCAGGGATGGCGAACCTTTATACACCAACGTGCCATTTTTTCTAAAAAAATTGTTTGATGAGGTCATGGACGTGCCGTCAAATAATTTTGACTTCGTGATTATTGGATATACTATCAACTCAAAACTCTTTAATGACATTGAAAAAAAAACATTTTGCACTGTCTCAGTTATACGCGTAATTCAACTTAAAGTACAGTGTGACTTCTGTTGTTGCAGATTAGATGACAAATAACTTATATTAGATTGAAAGATGTTAGTTTAAGCAGGACTGTTGATTTTTTTGCTAGTTATTTATTGTTAGCTTATTTTTTATGATCATTAATTGTTTTTTTAAGCAGTAATTGTTAATTTTTTATTAATAATTGCATATTATTTTGTGTGTTTTTTGTGAATTTTAATTTAATTGTTACATATGCATCTTAGTGTAATACCATTTGTGTAATAACAAATGTGATCGGTGGCGTGCCCGAAATATTGTGTCGGGTGAAATAAATGGCACGCGTGCCATTGGTTCGCCATCCCTGCCCTATAGTAAATGGTGACTGGCGCATGTTAAATCTGTCGGGTCATAAAACCCGACGTATTTAACCAGATGCGTTTATGGGTCCGCCAGTATGTGTGTGGCAGAAGTTGAATTCTTGGCGATAGATGGCGGCACTGGAAAACAAGAACAATCACACCCCACCTGCCTTAATGTCCTTTGCAACTGGATAAATTATTTAGGCTATTTAAGCATACTGTAATGTGCACTTAGTAAAAAATGAAAGAAGGGAGATCAGAAAAATGAAAAATACTTTTGGTGGTTTTAGAACCATACTGACATGAAAGGCTGATACAAGGTTTTATTTCATATGAAAGGTTCATCCATTTAATTTCGGTTGACGTGCATACACAGTTGGAACAAATCTTTATCGCGGTGCGTTATGACGTCGTATTAAATAAAAAAAATTATACTGACAATGAAATATTAAAAATCCAATAAAATTCAGCAAGAGTATTATTTAGTGGTATGTTTACTTCAAACTATCAAAAGAAAGAAACCGCTAAATATTTTATAGTATGTAGCGGTGAGACTGTGGAGAAGTCAGAGAACAGGCCTAGAATCAGAAAGGTTCTGGGTTCGAATCCCCGAGCAAGGCATGGATGTTCTTTCATTATCTGTTCTTAGTGTGGGAGCAACGTTGATCCACCTAATAGGATTCCCCTGAAAGAATGCTCAACAAATCTGCCCTGTAAATCCTGAGTTGACGAATGGTTAACACAGGCTTGCATTGGAAGTGATATATATATTTATAATAATATATACAAAAACTGAGAATAAGGCATTAATTTTGATAAGTTTCATCCAGGTGGTAAAATGTCGGCAAATTCGCGATTTTTAAGAAAGTTTAATATATTTAAAAATATTAAAGTTTTCTGCCTGTATATAGATTATAAGATTTCTGAAATTAAAGCACGTGCTTAACTAATTAAGTTCAAAAACAATCAATTTACATACAGCAGATAATACTATCGATGTTATATCTCACAAAAAGAAATGGTTATGTTCTGACAAAAGTTTTACGAACATTCTATTTGTTGTAAAACTTTCTGTTTCTGATCTTTATCACTGAAAAAAATATTTATTTCATAAAATAAGCTAAAACATTGATAAAATATGAAAAATAATAAAAAATAATGACAAGAGAAGTAAATTATTAAAAATATTTTTCAAAAGTATTTAAAGAAAAATTTTCTTAATTGTCTGAAAAATAAATAAAAAAATAGTAAAAATCTGGAAAACAAAATAAAGAAAAGATGTAATTTCTTCATCAGCTAACACGATTAATCCACAAAAAGGAGTAATTTTCAATATTGTATCAATATGGCCAAATATATCAATACAATAGTGTGAGGAGCACACAAAAAATTTTTCATAAAAANTAATCGGAACTTTAAGCTTAGAACTTTGAATCACATATGACTTTTTAGTTTTATGTCTCAACAGAATCGACGAATCGGTTAGAAGCGCTTCGCGCTTAATGCCGAGATTTCACTCATATCCAGCATCCAAAACTCAACTTCTTTTATGAAAGAACCTTTTGCTAGACTGAAAAATGAGAGTACTTAGAAGGGCCAGGGTTGAAAGAATATATACACCAAGACGGAAAAGAGTTAAAACTGGTATGAAAGGCATTTCCCTTTAGCATTTTTTTTTTGAGAAACATTAAGTTTCTGTAGCTGCCGAGATTATTTTTAACAATTATAACACATAGAGATATGCCAGCTACTACGCTTTTTGCCAAATATTTTATAAAATAATAGACACTAAAAAACCAAAGCTTTCCAAATTTTTGGTAATTTTACCAACTTTTAAATGCCATTACAATTTTGATCCTCTGCTGAGGGGATGGCACCCTAGCTTCGGTAGCTCAACGACCTGCACGAGAAGTCGAGCACTTTAGGGTAGAACAGTTTAACGAGGACCAATACCGCACCCCGACGGTTCCCTTGCAGACTGGTCAAAGTGGTCACCCACCCGCTTTCTCACCGCATCCAGCGATACTTGACTTCGGTGATCTTCTGAGAACCGTGTCACAACGATCAGTTAGTTCATCGCGGGGCGGTTGCCTAAGTAAATTCCCCCAAAGTAAAATAGTTCCTCAAGAATTTTATGCGAAAAAGGAAGAAAAATCATTCTTGATAAATACCTGAAAAATTAGGAGTCATATCCACAGGAGTTATATTGTACCCTGAAAATATGCAACCGTCAATACCAAGTCCAATTGTGAACAGGACAACTATGAGTTCGGGCTGACATCCCAACTGCGTTACGGCCAACAAACAAATTGCGGGTGCAGTCATACCTAAATATATAAAACAGACATGAAATATATCCATCCATTAACCACAAGAGAGAGAGAGAGCATTTTGATTCCTAACCAATGGTGTTGAACAATTTCCGAATGACTGTGATGGAAAACCTGTTGGCCTTCCTTAGTTTATCAGCAGCCCATGATGCAATCCATGAAACAAACAATTGTAGAATAAAAGGTAGAGCAGACAGGAGACCATTCTAAGGAAGAAAAAAAAATTGCAAACATTTTAAAAAATATATAAACCATATGTTCAACAATCGCAGTGTTATAAGAGGGAAAGTGACAACATAAAAGTATGATTAAAACACTTCACACGCCTCAAAAATGAGCTGACTGAAAATAACAATCGACGTGTTTCAATCACTCAAAAGCATATATGGCAACGTTACTTTTAAAAAGTAACGAGTAAAAGTACACGTATTTTTAAAAAAAAAGCAACGAGTAAAAAGTAAAAAGTTCTTATTTTAAAAAGTAACGAGTAAAAAGTACAAGTCGAAGTACAAGTACTAAACAAAAAAAGTAACGATTTAAAAGTACATTTCTAGGAAATCGAAAATTCAAAATAACCTAAAATTTTATTGAATAATATTCTTATGTTCTTTAATGTTTTTGCAAAGCTGTTGCTATCTATTTAATTATTTTTAATTTTGAAAGTTATGGATATTAATTTATTTTTAAATTCGGAAGAATATTATAATATAATTTTATAATATAATCGTATAATATAATTTTAAAATCAAATATAATTTTAGTATCAAACTTTTTATGGATTTGGACGAAAAAGAAATTTTATCTATTGATTTTAATTTATTTAAATTACCATTGATTTGAAATTATTTTACTCTTTAGAAACGCGTTTTAAAAGCACAGACATAAGCAAAGCAAACACGGGGTTTCAGATAGCTTTGTGATCTTTGAGCTAGTAAAAAATAATTGAATGTGCAGTATAAGTTGAAACAGAAAGTATTTTAACACGAAGTTAGCTGTGAATGCATATATATTGCACATTAATTTTATAAATTAAAAAAACATAAGCATTTATTTTTAAATTTAATTTCTTTTTTTTTTAGAAAGCTTATCGAGTTTTAGAAAAAAAGTAACGATTTCATTCGATATTTCCGCTACAAATACTTGTACTTTTTCCCTAAAAAAGTAACGAAAGTACAAGTAAAAGTACTAAATTCAAAAAGTAACGAAGTACAAGTAAAAGTACCGGTGGTACAAGTAACGAAAGTAAAAGTACTGCCATATATGTTCAAAAGTAGGCGCCTATTTTCATAACTTCTCAGACGTGAATGCGAAGAAGCAAAAGTGATTTAAATGTAAAACGTACAGTTGCCTACAGAGCAACAGAAGAAAAAAAAACTACTGGGGAAAGCGAGGCAAATCAAGGTAAAATACATTTCCTCGAACTATTGAGATATGGTGAGGAGTGGATGTCGTTAACAAGGGAATCAGCCTTCTTATGAATATGAAAAGATTCAAAGACATCAAGATGAGCTGATGTGCCTGGAGTGGAAATAATTTTGATATTGTCAGAAGTGCTTTTATGTCCGAGATTCCAACAATATGGAGCAATCAATGATTTTTTGTATTCTTGAAGGACATATCTATCGAGTTCCAAAAAAAATCTAAATTTTAAAAATTAATATCTAAAATGTCTAAATTTTAAGATGCGTCTGGTTTGTCCGACGTAGCGAAGGCCGCACAGACTAGGAATATGGTTTTGGTTTTAAAGCCATTTTTAGGCCTGTTAAAAGAAATTAAATTAAATTAAAGCCTCTTAAAGACCCTATCGATTTTGATAATCGCTGATGTATTTACCACATTCCTTATCAGTGAGAGACCATCGAACAAGTCAGACTTGCTTTAAAATTTAAAGTAAAATAATATGATAGATATCAAGAATACTAGAACTCAGCAATTGCTGCACAGTGTTGGAATATTGGGCCTAAATACAATTTCAACAGTGCTGAAATATTTCCACCCCAGTTACTTCAGCTCATCTTGATGTCCTGGAATCTTGTTTTATTCAAATGACTTTTGATTCCTTTGTCAACGACATTAGTTCCGCAACACGTGGAAATACATTCATATGGAAATACATTTTACCTAGATTTGCCACTTTTTTTTGTTCTGTTACTTCATATTTTTATTCTTCTTCGGCTAATGTGATTTTCCCAATTTTGTTTTCCATTTTTTTCTTAGCAGTTTGCCGTTTTATCGCTGTTTCAAATCACTTTCGTTTCTTTTCATTCACGTCAGGCAAGTTCTGAAAATGGGCGCCTCATTTTTGAGTGCTCGTAACTTGTCGAATGCTATTTTAATCAACATATTTTTGAAGCGAATAAAGGTTTTTAAATAGAGTAGTATCTTATTACTTCAGTTCATTGATTTACTTACTATTAGCTAATTATTATGAATCAAGCATCACTTACCGCAGCTAAATTAAAATGAAGAATGGTGCTGAGATACGTTGGTAACTCTGTCATCAACATGAGATATCCAAAATTGTGTCCAACCATAGCAAATGCAAATGCCCATACAGGTGCAGATGTTATTATATTTTTCCATGGAATGGAGACTTTCTAAAATCAGAAAAAATTATTTATGTTATGGGAGGTTTTTGCATCCGTAGAAGTTACTTATAGAGAAGCATTTATATGGTTGAAAAAATATTATTAAAATGTTTTTTTAATACATTAAACTCGAAATATCATCGTTGGGAGCGTGTTCTTTTGATTCGAAAAGATAAACTGCCAACTGAATTATTTGATTATTATAATTATTATTTCACGTGAAGTGGCGGCCGGGATAACCTGAATGGCAGGACGCTGAACTCACGTTCGTGTGAACGGGAGTTCGACTGAAAACTCACCGTGTAGTTAATGGTGGCAAGTGCACGTTAAATCTGTTGGGTCACAAAGTCCTCTATGTTACCATAACAAATCGTACCTCCAGGAGTCATGAATTGGAGATTGATCGTTCTCTGGTTAAGATCAAAATTATGATCTGTGGATGAATGAAAGGATGTATGAATGGGTCCGCCCTAAAAACGGGTGTGACGTATATGTGTGTCAGAAGTCGAATTCTTGGCCATAGATGGCGCAACTGGAAAACAAGAACAATCACACCCCCACTGCCTTACTGGCCGATGACTACAACAAAAAATTCACATCGCAGAAATTTAAAATTTCTATAGCTTAAACAAGGAAATCAATTACTCACCTGTTTTCAAAGGATTTTAATAATGTAAGAGTTTTGGTTAATTTTGCTAACACTTGTCGTTGTTACCGTGACTGACAGAAATCAAGGGAATGTTGACTGTCACCGGCGAATGTCAACAACCGCATAGTCACTTTAGCGAATGTCCACTGAAGATAGATTAGGAGAGACATCAGTGTTCGGAGTACCGGTTAAGTGCATATTGGTCAGTGGTACTTGACCTTAAGAAAACATTGATGTAGTTCATACCGGGCAATTATATACCGGGCAGTGGCACGTACCTAGACCCAATATATATTTCGAACATTTATCAGAGCGACTATGTGATTTTCAACTTTCACCGTTGGAAATCAACAACCACCCATTTCATCCATTCACAGTAACATATTCACTATTCTAAAAAAGTAGAAATTACTTCAAACAATATGAGTGAACTAACCTTATCGGATGGTTCGTCTTGATTTTGTTCAATATAAAGCAGCTCTTCTTTGGAGATACTTGGATGTAAAGCTGGTGTTTCATACATAAAGAGGAACCAACAAATGCACCACGTGACACCAATTCCACCTGAAATGCAATGTAAAGCTCTCTATTTAAAAAGTTTCTTGCATTTATGTGAACTATCAGTAGTTGTTACGTATTTGATATTTTTTAATTAAATTATGAATCACCATAATCTGGGATTGCATAAATCATTCATCAGCTTTCCAAAGCCTGATTGTTTACAAGTACTTGTGATACATTAAAACGGCACTCTTCCATTATGTACAATAGTTATTCAGTACCTGCGGTTATCTAGTCTGAGAGTGTAATGAAGAAGAGAAAAAATAGGTCTTGTGTTAGCCTTTGCCAAAGCCAGTAGTCCTAGTTACTTATGTAAATCACACATGAAGAGTAGGCGTCATGATCCTTTTTTTACAAGTTTTATTACTTCATTCGCTATCAATTTGTAGAAAGTAAAACAGTTGCGTTCTCTGAAAATGTATAAAGCGGTAACTAGTGAATAGGATGCTCGTGGCATCCTTGCGATGTGGTTATCTGGTACACAGGGGTACTGCAGTCGACTGAAAATTCAAAAATGTGGTCAAAACTCCATTCATTTTTATTCATTTACTATCTTTTTAACTAGTCTTTCAAACAACCACTAGTACTTAGATTGAAAATTATTCATATTTAAAGGCCTGGTTTCTTAGGACAGGACGCCGTCAGCTGGAAATCAGCTTTAATCTCTGATTGGTCCATTTGTGAGTTTGATAATATACGTCATCGAACGCTCATCTTGAACTACAATTGCCGTTCAACTCAACTGCAGTTGGATTACAACGTGACGTTAATCACAGAAGCAATGGCGGACAGCATCCAACAGCACATTGAAATCAGCCAAGATTTTGATTTTGACATTAAATATAGCTTCTTCATTAAACATAGCACTCTTCATTTAGCTCAGCTATAATGTGTTTTTTCTTGGATAAAGTCATTATTTGTTCTCTAAAACACTGGCCGACAAAAACAAAATCAATTCAAATTCAAAAGAAATATTTGTTTACGTTATTAACGCATGCGCAATGAGAGATAATGTCTGCGTTGGACCGACTGCTCACGCCGAGCTAACAAAATGGTATTTTTATGGCGTCAAAATTATATCACTTAACGCTGACGCCTAGTTAAGACGCTTTTCTTAAGATACCATGCCTTGAGCTAACAAACCAATATTTTGTTGGCGTCAGGATAACGTCAACTTAACGCTGACGCCCAGATAAGGCGCTTGTTCTAAGAAACCTGGCCTTAAAGCAAAAAGTGCCGACGCTAACACATGATGGGAAAAAGTCGCTAACGGTCTCAGACGTTCAGATAAATTCTGATGACGACGATGATGTTGATGATGAACGGGTCATACACTTATAACAGTNTATTATGAATCAAGCATCACTTACCGCAGCTAAATTAAAATGAAGAATGGTGCTGAGATACGTTGGTAACTCTGTCATCAACATGAGATATCCAAAATTGTGTCCAACCATAGCAAATGCAAATGCCCATACAGGTGCAGATGTTATAATATTTTTCCATGGAATGGGGACTTTCTAAAATATAAAAAAAATATTTATGTTATGGGAGGTTTTTGCATCCGTAGAAGTTACTTACAGAGAAGCATTTATATGATTGAAAAAATATTATTAAAATGTGTTTTTTAATACATTAAACTCGAAATCATCCTTGGGAGCGTGTTCTTTCGATTCGAAATGTTAAACTGCCAACTGAATTATTTGATTATTATAATTATTATTTCATGCGAAGTGGCGGCCGGGATAACCTGGATGGCAGGACACTGAACTCACGTTCGTGTGAACAAACGTGAGTTCGACTGAAGATTCACTGTGTAGTTAATGGTGGCAAATGCACGTTAAATCTGTTGGGTCACAAAGTCCTCCATGTTACCCTAACAAATCATACCTCCGGGAGTAATGAATTGGAGATTGATCGTTCTCTGTTTAAGATCAAAATTACGATCTATGGATGAATGAATGGATGTACGAATGTGTCCGCCCTAAAAACGGGTGTGACGTATATGTGTGTCAGAAGTCGAGTTCTTGGCCATAGATGGCACAACTGGAAAACAAGAACAATCACACCCCCACTGCCTTACTGGCCGACGACTACAACAAAAAATTCACATCGCTGAAATTTAAAATTTCTGTAGCTTAAAACAAGGAAATCAATTACTCACCTGTTTTCAAAAGATTTTAATAATGTAAGAGTTTTGGTTAATTTTGATAACACTTGTCGTTGTTACCGTGACTGACAGAAATCAAGGGAATATCGACTGTCACAGGCGAATGTCAACAACCATATAGTCGCTTTAGTGAATGTTCACTGAGGATAGATTAGGAAAGACATCAGTGTTCGGAGTACCGGTTAAGTGCATACTGGTCAGTGGTACTTGATCACATTGATGTAGTTCATACCGGGCAATTTTATACGGGGCCGTGGCATGTACCTAGACCCAGTATATATTTCGGACATTTATCAAAGCGACGATGATTTTCAACATTCACCGTTGGAAGTCAACAACCACCCATTTCATCCATTCACAGTAACATATTCACTATTCTAAAAAAAGTATAAATAACCTCAAAAAATATGAGTGAACTGACCTTATCGGATGGTTCGTCTTGATTTTGTTCAATATAAAGCAGCTCTTCTTTGGAGATACTTGGATGTAAAGCTGGTGTTTCATACATAAAGAGGAACCAACACATGCACCACGTGACACCAATTCCACCTGAAAAGCAAAGTAAAGCTCTCTATTTAAAATGTTTCTTGCATTTATATGAACTATCAGTAGTTGTTACGCATTTGATATTTTTTAATTAAATTATGAGTCACCATAATCTGGGATTGCATAAATCATTCATTAGATTTCCAAAGCCTGATTGTTTACTAGTACTTGAGATACATTAAAACGGCACATCACTCTTCCATTATGTACTATAGTTATTCAGTATCTGCGGTTATCTGGTCTGAGAGTGTAACAGAGAACCGCAGGTAAAACAAGAACAATCACACCCCACCTGCCTTAATGTCCTTTGTAACTGGATAAATTATTTAGTTTATTTAAGCATACTGTAATGTGCAGTTAGTAAACAATAAAAGAAAGGAGGTCAGAAAAATGAAAAATACTTTTGGTGGTTTTAGAACCAATTGAAATACTGACATGTAAGTCTGATACAAAGTTTTATTTCACATGAAAGGTTCATCTATTAAATTTCAGTTGATGTGCTTACACAGTTGGAACAAATCTTTACTGCGGTGCGTTATGACGTCGTATAAAATAAAATAAAATAAATTATATTGACAATTAAATATTAAAAATCCAATAAAATTCAGCAAGAGTATTATTTGGTGGTATGTTTACTTCAAACTATCAAAAGAAAAAAAACCGCTAAATATTTTATAGTATGTAGCGGTGAGACTGTGTAGAGGTCAGAGAACAGGCCTAGAATCAGAAAGGTTCTGGGTTCGAATCCCCGAGCAAGGCATGGATGTTCTTTCATTATCTGTTCTTAGTGTGGGAGCAACGTTGATCCACCTAATAGGATTCCCCTGAAAGAATGCCCAACAAATCTGCCCTGTAAATCCTGAGTTGACGAATGGTTAACACAGGCTTGCATTGGAAGTGATATATATATTTATAATAATATATACAAAAACTGAGAATAAGGCATTAATTTTGATAAGTTTCATCCAGGTGGTAAAATGTCGCCAAATTGGCGATTTTTAAGAAAGTTTAATATATTTAAAAATATTAAAGTTTTCTGTCTGTATCTAGATTATAAGATTTCTGAAATTAAAGCACGTGCTTAACTAATTAAGTTCAAAAACAATCAATTTACATACAGCAGATAATACTATCGATGTTATATCTCACAAGGAGAAATAGTTATGTTCTGACAAAAGTTTTACGAAAATTCTATTTGTTGTGAAACTTTCTGTTTCAGATCTTTATAACTGAAAAAAATATTTATCTCAAAAATATCAATTATGAGAAGGCAGAGATTCACTTCATATTTTAACAGGTACGTGATGGAAGGGAGGAGGGAAGCTTCGAGGGCCAGGTGTCCAATAACCATTACAAACTCGGACTCTTAAGTATTGATATATTTGCTTCGAAACATTCACAAACTTTAGCTACTAAAATATGTGGATATTTAGAAGCAAATAGTTTTAAATTTCTCGTGATTTGTGATTCTGGAAAAGGCTCGAGGACAATGTATTTCTTTTTTTTTCCTTTCGAAATGATAACGAAACTTGTTTTAAGTTTTCATACGAGACAATAACAAGAATATCTATTTATCTTAGTGTTTCGCTTCCATTTCAAATATTAAACCTGATCGTGAGACCTCAGCTTACTTTCTCACCTTAGAATTTCACATCTCAGACTTATCATTGAAACAATTGCAGCTACCACTTTAACTGGTTGCTACTTTTTAAAATGTTTTATTTGAATTAAATTTTGAATTCTGCCAAATATGAAGTCGCTAACGGTCTCAGACGT